CTTAGAAATTTAAGAAAATTTGTAGATCTCAAGCTTTTGTAGAAAATCGTTGGAAGGCTTTTTTAATCTTAATTGCAAAACTTACGAATGGAACTCTTAAGCGACATTTTTCACAAAAGAGCAGCTATTACTATTATTTGAATCTTAAGATAAAACGTGAGTGGAAGAAATCAATTACCGATTTTAGCTGGACAAGTACACAGTCACTACTCATGTGCTTCATGAAGATACTATCATCCTAAAACCGAATGAACCAGGATTACCAGAGTTCAGGTAAGCTGGAACACTTTTTCAAAGATATGTATAGCTTTTAAAATGAAATTTTCAGTCTCAAACCTAAAGATCTAGCAACATCAGAGTATGTACGGAAGGCATGGCTAAAGGATATCACAGAGGAACAGGATGCATACGGTACGATCTTGTATTCCTTAGAAAAAAGTAGAAGATAGCTAATATAAACTATTTTTTCCAAAAATCAAATCCGCTTTTCTGAAAAGTAGAAAGTGTTTCTTTTCATATTGATCTTCGATGTCGAAATCTATAGACACTCTGCAGCCGCTTTATCCTCTAAACTTCGTTTTCGACACAAATGGCTTCCAGATTTGAATTTGAACGTTTTCAGTGGAAGTACGACTATTACCACATGTTACAGAGGGGATAGAATGCTTTTAGTTTTAAGGAAGGAAGGAAATAAATACAGTATCTTAGCAGGATGAGAAAGGTTGATCGATAAGCTATGAGCAACACTTTACGGGTTTTCAATCAATCAAACTTGGGAGTGGGAATGAACTTATTCATTGAGCTGTGGAAAAAATGTGAGTGGGTGGAAGCCGTGTGGTTCCGAGATCTGAGTCATGAGCAGATCTTCAAGTTTTTTCACAGCTATGAGACAATAAGACGAGGCTTAAGATATTTTTGAGCAGTAAAATGGATTCTTAAGAAGCACATAAAGGAGATTGTCTATCAAACCCTAACCTTTAACTGAGAGGCATTGAATGTAGAGAAAACATGTATCTTGGAGGTTGGAGGTGGTAAAGAAAATATTTATGGTTTACCAGCTTGACCAAGAACACGATCATTGACTCACCGATACCCCGCTGTTGCCGCTGGCGGAGGTGGTGGGGCATCAGCAGTCCTTCAACATAGCGGTAGGCAGCGGCAACAGCGGAGGAGCCCCTCATTCGGTTGTAATACGCGTCGCGCACGGGAGAAGTCTCGAATCTGCTGCCGACCGACACGAGCCCCAAAGCCGATCATCAACGGCCGGCCCTGTCTTTGCAACTAGAACAGGCGCCTCCCCGCGTCATATCCCCCCTCCCCGTGCTCTCCTCTCCGGCTCTCACCTCAACATCGCGATTGCTCGCTCGATCACTTGAGCACCAGCGCCTCGAATCCCCTCTCTCTCGCTTCGTTCCTGAACGTAGGCACACTGGTCTACACCTATCTATGAGCTGGCATTAGAATCCTCTATCCACCCCCGTCCCTCTCAACACTACACGAATACTGCCCTGAGTAGATCAAACAAATCCCCATTCCGCCCCATTCGTATCTGGGAGGTTCCCTCTAGCCCCGTTTTCCTCCTATTCTGGAGCACTAGGCACTAGCTCCCCACTTGTGCCCGCTCCATATTCACTAGCAAAATGGTGTTAAAAACGCTATTTATTATTGAACTAACTGATACAGAAGAAGGCGGACTTGAACTTGTTGATCCATCATGGTGTAAGTGATTATTGATTTATTGATTTGTGTTTTTCTTAGCTGCTGAACGTGAACAAGAGACCGAGACTACCACATCGGAATTTGAAATGCATCTCAGCGATATGCGTTCGGAGTTCAGCGAATATTCTGGCTCAAGGAAGAGCTTACTTTTTGGTAGACAAATCTTTGTGGTTCTCGATCGATTATCGATTGATTGTTTGGTGTAAGGTTGAGCTGACTAGCTTCTCTTTTTGATTTATTGATTCTTTAAAAGCAACTAGGAAAGATTACGCTAATCAGCTCTCTGTGTGATGTAATGTGGTGTCCAATGTCCAACGTGGAATTTTCTGGAGAAAAAAGCTTGTGAGGCTATTAGCTTTGAATTTATTGATCGATAAAGCCGTAATCTTTCTATTTCGCTTTGGCACACGCATGGAACACTTGATTTTTGTTTGCGCAGAACATCCGGAGATCGGTGTACGTTGAAGTACGACATTTATTTAGCAGTTTTCACAACTGTCACAAAACCATTCAAAAGCATTGCTTTGTGAAAAAAATTGATATTTGGGACCTGTTGTTAAAATGTCCGTGTGATCAATGTTCTGTGAAGTGATCAGATGTTAAATGTAGTTTGTATATGTGACATTATTGATCGATTCAAAACACCATATTGATTACCTTCAGGTCCAGAAGAAGGTGGACCACCACGAAAGAAGGTGAAATCGCCACCAGCGATTTCACCAACTGGATCTTCCACTAGTATTTATTCGGGTGGAAGTAGCAGTATTGACTGGAGTAAGTTTTTCTCGGCATTGTTGTTCTTTTCTTACAACAGTTTTTTTTAAATCAAATGACTGAATGTAACTTTAAATGTCAACCACTCTGTAAGAAATATTGATGGAAAAATTACTTTATCTTTCAAATTCTGTGATAATTTTGTCTCATTCAAATCGTTAGTTTTTTAGATTGGAAACATTTACGAAAATATTATAGGAAAGCTCCTAGTGCTTAAACCTTAATGATTATCA